CAATTTAATATTTTATATAAACTATTAAAATTTAATGACAAAATGATTTTATTCAACAAACCATAAAGATATCGGAACATTATATTTCATATTTGGAATATGATCAGGAATAATCGGAACATCTTTAAGATTAATTATTCGATTAGAATTAGGAACTCCAATATCAATAATCAATAATGACCAAATTTATAATTCAATTATTACAGCTCATGCATTAATTATAATTTTTTTTATAGTTATACCATTCATAATTGGAGGATTTGAAAATTGATTAATCCCATTAATATTAGGAGCCCCTGATATAGCTTTCCCACGAATAAATAATATAAGATTCTGACTTCTTCCACCATCTTTATTATTATTATTATTAAGAAATAATAATGACATAGGAGTAGGAACAGAATGAACTATATACCCACCATTATCATCAACTATAGGTCATAACTCATCATCAGTAGATTTTGCCATCTTTTCCTTACATATTGCTGGAATTTCATCAATCATAGGAGCAATTAACTCTATTGTAACTATTTTAAATATACATATTAAAGTTCACTCATTAAATTTTTTACCTATATTTACATGATCAGTTTTAATCACAGCAATTCTATTACTATTATCTTTACCAGTCTTAGCAGGAGCAATCACCATACTATTAACTGATCGAAATTTAAATACATCTTTCTTTGATCCTTTAGGAGGAGGTGATCCAATTCTATTCTAACATTTATTTTGATTCTTTGGTCACCCAGAAGTTTACATTTTAATCTTACCAGGATTTGGTATAATTTCACAAATCATTACTAATGAAACAAGAAAAAAAGAAATTTTTGGCTCATTAGGAATAATTTATGCCATAGTATCAATTGGAATTTTAGGTTTTATTGTATGAGCCCACCATATATTTACAGTTGGATTAGACATTGATACACGAGCCTACTTAACTTCAGCAACTATAATTATTGCAGTCCCAACTGGAATTAAAGTATTTAGTTGAATAGCAACAATTTATGGATCTAAATTATAAAAGCTGGTGATTCCGATTACGCGATTGTTAGTGGTGGAATCTTAAGCTTACTTCCCCAAACATCTTATCAACTTTTGGAATTAGGTAATATAATAGTATGCTAGGTATGATTACTTCCAGAACTTGAAAGTAAAGACAAAAAGGCAATATTTTTTTATATTTGTATCATTTCAATGATAAATAAAACAGCAGCAAGTACAATATTTTCTTAATTTATAAATAATTTGTTGTTTTTTTGTTCCATCACTTAGGTTTATTGTCAAAAGACGGGGTAAATAAATCTTTTAATAAGAATGCTTCTGGATTCTCGAGAAGCGAGTCGATAGGAACAAATTTTCCTTCAAAGAGCAAAACATGCAAAGCGAGTTTATGCCGAGGTCATTAATCTTTACGTTGGGAACACAGATGCCATTCCCAGAAACACTTGTAATTTTCCCACAGCCGAATCTCAGGCTCAAATAATGAAACAGACGTTATAAAACTGCGGTCTAAAACCAAGCAACATAGCTTACTTCGAGGCCGATGGTACAGCAATTAAATCGATGGATCTCAATGAATTAAAGGCAATAGATCTTGTTTATGGTCAAGATCGAAGTTTTTTTAATCCTCTTTTAATAGGATCTGTTAAGTCAAACATTGGTTATACATTTAATAATAATGCAATAAATTCGATAATCAAGGTAGGTTTCCTGAAAAGACAGAATTAAATTCAACACAACATAAATTTGGTATAATATTTTACATTAGGTTTTTTTTTTTTAATTTTTAGGTACTAATTGCTATGGAGACCGGAGTTATACCTCCGAATCTTCATTATTCCGAGCCTCCAGTAGAGGCGCAATGTCTTCAGGATCAACGCGTAAAAGTCATTACAAAACCAACACCTTGGACGGATTGTTACGCTGCTGTTAACACGGCAGCTTTAAACGGTTCCTTTTGACAAATTATCCTGAAAAGTCATTCAAAAGAAAAACAGAGGAGAAAGCTTTCATCAAATAATATACCATGACTTTTTGTAGCATCTTGTCGTACTCAGGAAATGATATCATCGATCTTTAATATTGTAAGATATTTATTTTACGACAAAACTGATTAGGCAAAATGATCGTGAATTATATTATTTTTGCATTTAGTTAAAATCGAGCAAAGGAGATGATGAACTAGCTCAATTAATTACTGATATTACTGAGAAACCA